AGTAGGCCTATTGAATAGGCCTGGAAAACTATTGTAAAGAACTCTTAATTATATTATACACATTATATATTATTGCTACAATTATATTATTATATATAGAGCATATTAATACATTAATAATAGAAAATTTAGTACTTGATTTTTTGAAAAAATAAAAATTATTTAGCAAGAAAGATTCTTCAATGACGGAAGATACGACCCTAGCACGTTTAAGATATAGGGACGCTCCTGAGCCAGAGCGTCACGTGAGCGGTCGACGGCTCGGCCGCTGAGACTCGAGTGGTAGTGGGGGTCTCTCTCCGGAATCAGCCCGAAATGTGCATCTAGTGCCGAGCACTGGCATAATACATAAGCGAATCAACTAATCAGAATCTTTCCTTTCCTCCCATTCCATGGAAAAGAACAATTTCGATTAGTCGATTCCCTTACTCCGGATCTACAATAGGATTTTAAGTCTTAAGCCATAAAAAATGGGCGAATCACAGTCGATTATTCCCCTCGAATTTGACTGTAATTGGTCAATTTCTTACAACTTAAGGCTTAAAACACCTATTGTAGATCCGGGGTTATGCACTATGCATTATGCGTTATGCAAGAGTCTGTGCTGCGGCCAATATTTTATAGTGCGCACTGAGTGCGCACTATGAGAATGTCGTGCGGTCAAATGAAAATGTGACACTAGCCAAGTGCGCATTGGCACTGCCAATTGAACACGCTCGTGACACTGAGTGCAGCTAGTGTATCCCAATCGGAAACGATATTAATGAGCGCTCAGTGAGTTCTTTCATTTGATTGGTTTATATTTTAGGATCTAACGAAATATGCCAACGGATGAAAGAGCTCAACCTTGTGTTTACTAGAGTCCTAGATATCAGAGAAGCGCAACCGGCTTAAGTCAGTATCGCAAAGTTACTAACGAGAGTATTAAAAATGGCCGACATGCAATGAAACTGCCTTTAAACTGTCATCACCATAACCTCTTAATTTGCACTGCTATTAACGGAGTAAAACTTTACTCGAAAGGTTTTTTCGAAAGATTCTCGATAAAATTATTCCTGAAATTAAAAAAATATTATTGCATCTCTAGCGACAATTTTTCTCATAATTTTTGTATGAATTAGAACATTTTTCAGAAATATTCAGAAAGTTTATATCTTCTCTCAGAACTGTTTATACAAGTGAATTCTGAAATTTCTCATTCCATAATTAAAAAAAAATGTTCTTGTTTTAGATTTTATAACATTTCATCAGAAATTATACAAAAAATCTTAGAAATCTTATATATTTCATAAGTAATATATATGAAAAATTCTGAGATAAGATGTAGATTTTCTGAGAAGTGTTCCAATTCGTATGAAAAATGTAAGAAAGTTATAAAATTATATGGAAATTCTGAAAAATTATATAGAATTTCTGCAAAATTATGTGAAAAATTCTGAGAAAAATTTTCATCAGAGATTACTCAAATAAATAATTCTGTATGATACGTAGAAGAATTTCATATGGTTTAATCTATGGAGTA